GAGGGAAGGAGAAAAACAGGAGGCTACTGGGTAGGATGAGTAAGAGATTATGGTGACTGGACTAGGATGTGAAAGAGAAGATGGGGTGATGAGTAAGGGATTTAGGAAGTAGAATTGAGAGGACTTAGTGCTTGATTGGTATATTTGACTTTTTGTTACTGTCATAAATCATCATGAAAGTAGCAAATTAAAACAACACAAATTATTACCTTGCAGTTCTCTAGGGTGGAAATATGATGCAGGTCTCATTGGGCTAAAGTCAAGGTGCCAGCAGGGCTGCACCCCTTTCTTGAGACTTAGGGGAGAACTTATCTCCTTGCTCATTCACGTTGTTAGCAGAATTAATTACCTTGCATTTGTAGAATTGAGGTCCCCATTTCCATGTTGGGTATCAGCTGAGGCCCATTTCTTTCTTTCAGAGGCTGCCTGCATTCCTTGGCTTATGGCCCACTTGCTCCATCTTCAAAGACAGCAATGGACGGTTGAGTCCCTTTCATACTTTGAATCTCTCCTACCCCTTCTTTTTTTCTTTCTGCCTCCCTCTTCTGCTTTAAAAGACTCATGTGCTTAAATTGAGCCCATCCAGATAATCCAAGCTAACCTCCCCATCTCTAGGTCCTTAACCTTGATCACATCAGCAAAGTCCCTTTTGCCATGTAAGGTAGCATATTAACAGGTTCTGGGGACTAGAATGTGGACATCTTTGAGGGAGTCGTCATTCTGCCTTCTTTAATTGAATGTGGGATTAAGGGAGAATGTAGAATCCAGGTTTCTGACTTCAACAGCCAGATGGAATGTAGCTTTAAGAAAGGAAGATGAGTTTGGTTTTGAACATGTTGACTTTAAGACGGTCCCTGGGAAATAAAAATGGAACCACCTAGTAAATAGTTAGATGCACCAGCAAAAAGGCCCAAGAGAAATCAAGGCAGGAGATACTGATTAGGAAACAGTTAACACATAGTGAGCCCTCAGTGAATGTGCAGAACGGGAAGGGAAGAGGGCTAAGAACGGAATCCTGGGGCCAATAATATTCTGGGTGCAACAGAGAGAGAAGCACTTGCAAAAGAAACTGAAGAACAACCTGCATAGTCCCCTTTCACAGGGTCTCTGTCCCTTTTGGCCCATCTTTTCCTTTCCCCTCCACTGGCCTATTTTCTCCCCACTGCCTGTTTCCCGCTTCCCGGGACTTCAGCTTGCACGCCGTGCACGGTGGCCCCTCCAGTCTGCCACGTCATCGTGGATCTTTCACCGTCACCTCTCACTACTGAGCTGCCTCCTTCTCCTGGGATTTTTCAGTTCAAGGTTTAAAATAAAACTTCTGAAGAGAGTCGGGTTGACCCAGCTTATCTTAGTGAGTCACACTGTGGCACGTTCACCAGATTAAATTTGAACTGGCTGTCCTGAGGCCAGGTGCCCCCCTCGGTCCACTCAGCTGCTTCTCTATTTGAGGAACTGGAGTGAATCGAGTCTTGACAGTTCAGCAAATCATTTTGTTCCACAGAGGCTTTGGGGGAAGAAGGTTAACTTTATCTCCATCATATTTGCTGGACTCAGAATTACGATGTTGAAAATGGGCGTATAATAGGTTCAGGCCTCTCTTCACCATCTCCCTCACTCCTAGCCTCATGCAGCCCTAATGCTGTCTGTGGTCAGGGCATCAGCTTTATAGAAATTGAATTTTGGGTCCAAACCATAGGAATAAATCCAGACAGGAAAAACTCAAACTGAATATGGTCATTTTGCTTCACTGACTAATCTCTATTCTACATTGCATTGGTGTGTTTACAAACATTGTCCAAATGAGAGCTGGTTATTCAGATTTATGGACCTTCCAGCCACTCATCATGCATGAGTTCTGCAGGCTCTCAGCACACACGTAAGGGAATGAGGCCTGCATGTCTCTGGATCACAGTCATGCACTGACTCTTCCATCACACTGAATACGCAGCCTCTTACCTTCTCTTAAAGTGAGACCCTCTGGGCAGGGTTGCAGTTTGCATGTGTAGGGTGGAAAGGAGCTAAAAGGGCACCATTGATACTATCTGGTGTTCTTCCTGAATTGTGAGAAAACTAGAATTTGTATTGCCTGTCCAAAGTATTGTAAAGTTTCAAATTCCTTTTGTTTTTTGTTATACACAAATAATAATCTTTTATAAGATCTCAACTTACTGAACCAAAGTATGATGGGTTCCAGGAAAGGGAGGGCATCTACAAGATCAAATGAGATTCTCTAAACCAAATTCTCATGATGCCAAGCTTCAAAAAGGATGTTTCCTTATGTAGGGTTCATGTGAGGCCACAGAGGCATTGGGTTGGTGGCCTGGGTTAGTGGTCTGCTGCTGCTCTCCTCAGGCCAATACCTAAGCAGTAGCCCTGCACACATTGCCTGCTGAGAAACAGACAGAAAACAGGAAGGTAGAGCATTCTTCGCACTGTAGTGGACACTCACCATCCGTTTCTCATTGGGCCCTTGCCAGGTTGTTCTATACTTGTGACAGAGGGATGCCCTTTCACGCTTGGCTGGTCAGTGTTGAGCCTACTAGTGCTGTTCCCGTCAAGTCTGTTCACTGTGTCTATGAATGACTTCTTGCTCATGGTGCACTGCTTTGGGGATGAATTAAGTCTATTAGACAGCTGGTTGCTCCAGCATTTCTTCTCTGTGGAACTGACCTCAGTGAGAGGGAATTAGCAGGAAACCCAGAAGATCATGGAAAGTGCAAATCCTGGAAAGGGCTGTAGACTGCAGAAATGATCTAGGATAACCTGCTCACTGAGGGATGCAACACCAAGGCTGCCTGCAGAGGTGAGCTGGGAGGGCATGTGGATGTACATCCTTAGAGAGCTGGAGCCAGTGAGAACAGATCAGCCAAACTAAGGTTGAAGCTGAAGTTATGTGATAGTACTTTTATATTCCAAAAAATGCAAGAGAAAGATGAAGGCAAATATTATGTTGAACAAAGCAAATAAGAGGGCTAGCTAGTTAGCTCACTTGGGAGAGCATGGTGCTGATAATACCAAGGTCAAGGGTTAGAATCCCTGTACTGGCCAGCAAGCAGACTTTCAACTGCTCCTTTTTCTAGCTGGGTACACAGATAATTTACCTTTTGGTTTTTGAATCAGAAGATCTGAAGGGTAACTAAATTCTTGTGCAGGACAGGTAAATTGTATACTTCCTGTCTTGTCATTCTTCCTTCCCACCTTGTCCTTTTCTCTTGCTCTCTCTTCAGACCCAAAAGAATCATATACATTCTAGCCTCAAAAAATTACTTACGTTCTTGGAACTTATCAGACTTTACTCCTCTGTGACTTGATACATGTTGTTTACTAAGCCTGAAATGGCTTCCCTTTCCTTCTCCATCTTGAAAAATCCAACCTAATGTTCAGGAGCCAGCTCAAGTTCAATTTATCAAGTCTCTGGGACTCCCCAGGTTGAGTAAGTAGCCCCTTAAATATGCTGCTGCATATCTTTGTGCTTGTGCTTCTATGACATCACTTACCGAATTGTGTTCGAATCATGTGGTAGGCTAATACTCAGATATTATCTGACTGAAGATTAGGCACAGCTGCATGTAACAGTGGCTTAACGCAGGTGGAAGTTTATTTCTCTTTCCTGTTGAGAAAGTCTAGGGTTAAGCATTCTAGAGCCAGTGTGGCAGCTTTGCAGTATCATCATGAGTCCAGTTTTCTATCCACACTGCCATGCTTAGCTCACAGCTTTCATTTTCAAGTTCACCTTATGTCCACAATGGCTGCTCAAGCTCCAGCCATCACATCCATGCTCCAGGAAGCAAGAACGGGGAAGGAGAAGGGGGCATATCTTTTCTTTTTTAAGGAGACTTTCTGGAAACACCATACAACAATTTTACTTATGTATTATTGACCAGAACTCAGTTATGTGGCCACATATAGGTGCAAGGAACTGAGGAAATCGTAGCTTTTATTATGGCAGCAATGGGCAAAAATAAAAACTGTACCATAAGAAATAAGAAGAGAATGGATATTGAGAGGCAACTTGCAATCACATTCGATGCACTTTTATTTCTGGAATTCTTGCTGTTTCCAATTTCTGCCTATTGAAGCTGAGCAATCTATGGCTTTAGGAAGCAGTTAAAACCCAGGTGAAAACAAAGGTCACATATAATGGGTTTAAATTTAGCAGTCATAATTCAGGTGTGCAGAAATGTTACTTTCTTCATTTTCTGAACTTGACTTGCCCACAAGCCCCTATTTACATTTATGGCTAGAAAAAAAAAATGTTTATCAATTAAAGATAATGTACTCATTTCTGTTTTAAAATTGAATCTCTTTGGGGTAAATATTCAGTCAGATTCAGGGCTCTTCCCTGCCCCTTATTCCTGCCTTGTCCAGGAGGTGGTCTGGTTACCTAAGGGTCTTCCTGCTGCTCTCTTGTTCAGTACATGTGTGTCTCCCTCTCTACCCGGAACCTCTTGGGGTCTAGAACATTTGTTTTGACTGTTTTGCTTCCTCCAGTACCTATTACAGAAGCTGCCACATAGGAAATAGTTTGAAATGTGACTGAATTTATGAGTATACTTAAAATGCATCACATAATTAATTCAATTGGTACCATAATGATCTGAAAATCCTGTGCAATTAGAAGTCTGTTTCTCTAAAGGTAGGCACTGTTTACAGCTTTCTTATAGCATGAATAATCCTCAACTCTTGGGTATAGTGGTTTCTGTGCTTGTCTCACCCACCATTAGAGGGTTCACTCCCTGAGGAATGTTCCTAATCTGTGTACCTCTCACAGGTCCTGAGAAGGCTAGGGACATAGTAGGCCTTCAGTCCATGAAAATAAATAACTATAGGAATAGAAGCTGGCACTTTATAATTTGCCACTAATGAATGATCTGGGAAGAAACAGAATAGATTTATTAGAGCTATTTAGAATGATATTATAAACACAAGTTGGTATTTTACCTTTAATTGAACTTTTCTTCTTCTTTTTTTTTGAGAAAAAAATTGCTTTTGTTTTTCAGGAATCCTCCACCTACTTTACTCCATCCAGAAAAATGGTCTGAGGAATTCAATCACTTTATTTCACAGTGAGTATTACTTCCACTGAAAATTGCTTATCTAGCAAGACCTTGAACAGTGATTGGAGAAAGCCAAGCTGTGGAATTTACTTGGAGCTAGAAGTTGTTATGCCTACTAGCACATTATAACCCAGAATTTTTTCCAGTAAATGATAGAAGATGCCTCTACAGCATCTGAAAAATAAGGAGTTCCATTTGGCTCTGGGCTGTAATCAGTCTCCCTGATCATATGGGTTACATTTATCTGAGAACCTACTCTGCCCTGGAGCAAATGTTGCCAACTCTTCTTATTTAATGATGGAGGATATCGTCTAAAAAAATGATGCCCGTACTGGGACCAGAGAGAAGACAGAAGGTAGCAGCAGCCTCTAACAGAGGTTTTGTGGCTTGGAAGTTGGGCTTTGCTCTAGGATCTGTGATATTCCAAGATGTTTGAATGGGGCAAAATAGGATATTGGGCCTGGGACACCAAGGTGATGTGCCCTAATCAATGCTCAACCTGTGGAGAACAAGATGAAAACCCAGCTGACGGTATAATGTACCTGGTGCGAGCTCTATCATCAACCAAGACTTACAAGACTAAACCAGGAGCAAAACCAACAGCAACATCAACCAGATGGCTCAGTGCTGGGATCATGGGCTTTTGGCCTGGCCCCTGGCACACAACCACATGGTCCTGCATCTGGGGAAAATGCTCAGTATGCTGGCGGGCTCCAAGGCTCCAGGCTAGGGGTCCGGCGAATCATGGGGGCAGGAATCTAGACCAGGTGTTACACACCAAACCTAGGCAGAGGAGCTGGGAAGAGGTGCCCCCAGCATCAAATGTATCAAGCAAGGTTTTCAGAAGTCATGGGAGGAGCAAAGAAGTAACCAAAATAGCTGATAATCAGAAAGTAGGGAAGGGTCAACACAAATTTTTCTAATTTATGCCTATGTGCAGACTTAGCTTCCACAAAGAGTCCAGACAATGAAGCAAACTGGGTCTCTTGATCATCTTCCTTAAGCAGTCACAATACAGATCAGCAATCCCTTATCCACAATTACAAAAACCAAAGAGCTCTGAAAAATAAAAGTTCTTTTGTATTTAAGTAATTTAGCAGGAAAACCTGACCTTACTTGAACTGATTTGGTGGCAGCACATGACTTGAACCGATGTGAGGCTATTTATAGTCCTTATTTATCTTATTTAGTGTGAATATTCATGTGTTCTGCTGCAAATATATTACTGTTTGATTATAGTGTGCTGTCCTGGATCTTGCTGGGGATGTTACATAATATACAGTAAATGTACCTGTTTACCTTTCTAAAATTCTGAGTTCCAAAGCATATTTGGCCCCCAGGGGCTTGTATAAACAGCTGTGAGCCTATATTCCATTTTCATTTCAAATGCAGTATAGCTCAGGGTCCCTGAAATTGTTTGCTTGTCCAGTCCCTCCTGGACTTGTACCATGTTCCTCAGGAGAGGACTCAAAGAACTCTACTAAGAAAGGCTGTGTTGGGATATGTTGGGTGGAGGACATTTCCTTGCCCTTCCAGCCCTACCTGACATTTATACCCTGGCTGCAAAATGCAGCAGGAGCAGCCACAATCAAGGATATTAATGTCAGGCCATGCTGAGAGAAACAACAGATACTTGCAGGAGGGTGATGCTCATATAGCAGCACAGGAAGAGCCACTTTCTGAGGTTTCGAAGCAAAAGGAAACGATTGAGGGAACAAGAGAGCTGAAGACACCCTGGTGGCTTGGGACCACATTTCAGACCACTCAAGGTAGAGAAACCTGGGAGCTGAGGCTCCAGTGATTTTACTAGCAAACACTGGATCCAAAGATTTTCCTTTTCCTTCCATTGCTGCACACAGGCATTCTTGATTTACCTTTTCTACGCTGTTGGTCTGAAAAATTCATTACATATTCACTTATACACCTTCCCATATCAAGCTCTCCTGATGCCTCTAAAATGTGATTTGATTCACAAAAGATTAGCTTATGTATACTTTTCAGGTATGTTTGTGTTCTTAAACCAAAAACAGTATTGCTTGGATGGATTTGAGAATAAAGGTACATAATTTATGACAGGGTTGGAACTTTTATAGTTACACACAATATAAAAATCCCTCCCTACCACTGATATTCCCTTATGGCAAACCCTGTTCTATGCCAATTCAAACCGGCTTATGTTTTCCCCAACTGAGAATCCCAGATGCAGTCATTCTGAGTTGCTTTAGATTTACAGAGGTCTTGAATACAAGAATGGAGGGCTGAATACAGAAAGCAATGCCATGGAGTACGCATACGATCAGGGGCAATGCACGAAAGCATCCTGTTGAAACTGCAGGGGAGAGAGAGTCTGAAAAGTTTCTAATGATCCAAGGAAGGCAAATAGAAATTAAGTGGTCATGTCCTTTAATAGTAATTTAAGATATGGAAATATGTCACCATCTTCTCTTTGTTTAATGAGTTGTCTTTATTGTGTTTTATTAGTGAAAGTAGTATACAAGGGTACTTCAAAAAGTTTGCGGAAAAATGGAATTAAAGTTAAAATGAATCCTTCCACAAGCTTTTTGAAGACCCCTCGTATATTACTGGTGTTCAAAGACCTCAGCCTTCCAACCCTATTTTCCCCATAACATCTTAGATTCTTTAACCATGAATTCTCTTTCTACAATATTTTTAGGAATATCTCTCAAGATTGGGGACTGATTTATAATATTTTATACCTTGAAATACGTATCTGCCCACCATTCCCAAATAATATCTTTTGGTTTCATAGATGAGACTGCCTACCCTAGGCTATCATTGCTCAGCCTAATGAATGCAGTTTGACCAAATGCTATTTCACTATATTTATTCAAATCTCTAATTAAATGTAAACAATGACACTCAATGGGTTAGAAATGTCTATTTAAAGAGTCCCTTGGTTTACTTTTATGCTTATCTTGCTTATATTGAGAAGGAAGAGAAAGAAGGATGGAGGATCAAGGCCTTCAGATGATGAGCTTTTCATTATTGGAGGGACTGGGACACGGAAGATGAGTATCTGGTAATTCTAGGAAAAATGTTTTTATCCTGACTTACTCAGATAATGCTTCAGTTCCCTTTGTAGACCAAGCCACAGTGCGCTGTATTAAAGGAAACTGAACTAATTCTCTCTAAAGAATAAACACAACTAGAAATTCCTTAACAGCTTTTAAATCTTGAATACCCTGTCTTCACGTGACTGCTGACTATTGGCAGAATCGATTCAATAATTTTGATCTTTCTTAGTCCACACTAGTCACTACTCACCAAAGCACCTGGATGACTTCTCACTGAGTGCTGCAGGGGTTTGAACAGGTTCGTCTGGCTGTAGTCTAGTGATTATAGCTGTGTAGACAGGGGATGGGGCATGTGTGTGGGTGGGCGTAAGAGGGGTAGGGAGGTGGAAGAGCATGGGGGATGTGGCTTTGTGTTTTTCAGATTTGTTTCCAGCCTCCTTAATTTGGAGACAGTAGAAAAGATTTTTTTAAAGGTCTAAAAGTCTAAAATCCTATTAAGAAATCTGTTGGGGGGTTAAAAAAAAAAAAAAGAAAACATTAGCCTGTTGGGTTCTGAAGCTTTGGTCATTAGTGATAATTGATTCATTTATATGTGTTAGTCATGCATTGGTCAAAGCATGACTCCTGACAGCTTAGTTATGATAAATTAAATGTGATGCTCACATAAATTCTGCCCTGCTTTTTATCCATATGCTAGGACCCTGCCTGATGTTTTTGTCACCTCTATAATTTGTGCTTGGCTTTGTAGTCATTTCATTATCAGCCCTTTCCCCTATGGCTAAAACTATTTGCATAACAAGTTTATCTGGTTCAAGTACCAGCCAGAGCTTATGCTCTGTCAGGAAGCTCGGTTCAGAAGTAGCCTCTTGATAAGATAATAATTTTCATTTTGGCAACTTTGCCTTGGTCCTTATGATTGTCACTTTCTTTTTTTTAAGTTTAAACTACTTTCAGGTGTTTGGATTAAACTACAAAAGTACTTTCCCAATGATTGGCCAAAAGGTATTTGTGAGCTTTTTTTTTTCATTTTGCCTCTAAAACTTTTGGGGTTTTATTAGGAATCAGATTTAGGATTTCATCATCACTGGCTCTTGAGCAGATTAGTGGGACAATAAAGATATGTTTCCCTTGGTCAAGGGCAAATCCACCAAAAGCATCACGGCTGCTTAGCTTTGGATTTAATGATGACTTGCACTCTATGGTCACCCACACAGAAACTGTGCCTTCATGGGGTGGCTGGCTTGGGCGATGAAGAGGAGAAAAAGAAATATCTTTTCTCTTCCCATCGCAAGGTTCATGTCTGACAAGCCTGTAACAAAGACAGATTAAGAAGAGAAAAGCATAACAAATTTATTTAGCACAAGTTTTACCTGACACAGGAGCCTTCAAAAATGAAGTCCAAAAAATCTAGGGAAAACTGTATTTTTATGCTCAGATCGATGAAGAACGGGCTGTTGTGTAGAAGTATGATTGGACCAAAAGGCTTGTTTGTTCAGATTCTTCTTGGCCTCTCTGTTTAACATTCCTTTTCTCCCAGTTTAGGGCAGGACACCCATCACATGAGGGTCTTCAAGAGACAGGGGATGGTAGAAAGTCAGACAGACCTTCCTTTCTGCTTCTGTGATTTTCTTAATTTGCTTCAGTTTAAAATGCTCAGTATGCTGAAGTGCCATATTTTGGGGTAGCATTTCCTGCCCTCCCTCAGTGGCTGGCATACAGAGTGAGCATCGTGGCTGAGCCCTGCCCCATAGTCATGAAATGTTGAGGCAGCCTGTCCTGTCCCTCCAAATGACATTCAAATGGGTACAAACAGTTGCAATGAATGTTAACAAGATGAGATAGTTCTTAGCTATCAAACTACTAAAACTAATGGGCATTTGCATATGTTTATTCCTTAAAAATTGAAACTCAGACCTGGAATATTTGCTTTCTCCATAGCCCTGAATTTTAATAAAGTTAACTATTTTGGGGTGG